GGGGGGGGGGGACAGGCACACGCCGCGCACGGCGGGGCACATCGCGCAACAGTCGGCGGTTCCCGCCCTTTCAGGTAGCCCTTTTTCCATGGGCCCAGGAGGGCGGGAAGTTGCCAGGTGGCCTGGCACACAGACCCCCCCCCCCCCCGGGGCGCAAGCATGTCCCGCGTGGTGGCCAGTGGGGAAATGCGCGCCAACATGGCACGCACGTGGTATTCTTCAGTGAGGTCATCAACCATGTGCACATGATCACATCCACTTAAGAGCTTCCCCCGCAACCGCCCCGGGGAGAGTCGGGCCATCGCCATCCCAGTTCCACTCATTTCCTCCCCCTCCCCTCCCCTCCTGCGTTCATCATCTCCCTCCCTCTGCCTCTCCTCTTTCCGTGATTACCCCCCTTTGCTCCTGCCTCTCCTGGTATCGGCATCTGCCCCGTGACGCCAGCCATCATGCGGAGGAATCTCGGCCAGTCGCGGCTGCATACGCAGCGGCAGGGTGCGTCCCCTCCTCCGTCCCCGATCATTCCCCCTGCCGCTTGGGAACGGGCACACACACACACACACATACACATGCACATGCGCATGTTCTCCATCTCCCTCTTCCTTCCTCTATCGAGAGGTGCTGACACCTCCAGCTCCTCTGGCCCCCCCCCCCTGTCCGCTCCCACCAAACAGAATCCACTGTTCGCGTCGATAACCGCTACACGGCCAGCAGTGCCCGGCCGGTACAGCGATACCGCGCCGGGACCATGCCCCAGCACCTTCGCGAGGGCGATCGTCTGAACTCGACAACCAGTGACGCCGCCTCCCCCGGCGACTCGACTACCGCTCGGCGGCTTACGGCCACAGCCCGACTGAGTGCCGCGGCCATTGCGCGCGACGCAAATGCACCCGGCACCGATACCGGCATGGTTTTCGATTTCTCCAAACCCGCACGGGCCTCAGCGTGCGTGTCCCCCCCCTCCCCCACCCCTTCTTCCTCCTCGGTTGCTCTTCAGCTCCCCCCTCTTCGATGCTTTTTGCCAGTTCCAGACTTCCCAAGATTGCTTGCCGCCCTGGCCCTGTCCTCACCAATCCTCCATAGTGCTCCGGCTCCCGCGATCACCACCTGGGAGGAGGACGCTTTCGGCGAGGCCCCTGATGCACTGGACGACTCCGATAGCGACAGCGGGGGGACGCCGCGGGTGTCTCGCTTCAGCGAGATGGTCCAGCCCGAGGAGGACAACGACTCTGAGGATGATGACGCCTTCCGCCGGCGGTTGCTGCTTCAAGCCCGGCTGCGCCAGCGCCAGGACAGCGACGAGGATGACCGCAGCGAGGAAAGCGATGCCGATGAGGCCGATGAGGAGGACCACAGCCGCGATCGGCTGGGCATGCGCACCACCCAGGTATGTCTTCCCTCCCTCCCGCAAGGGGGGGGGGGGGGGGTGCTTTGCACATCCCCAATAGGGTCCACTCCCCTTCCTCTTCTGACTTTTCGTTCGAAGGCCACCGCCGAGCAGATCGCCCAGGAGCTCGGCATCGCGCATGACACTGAGGACCATGATCAATACTTTGAAGAGCCACTACGCCAGAGGCCGGTCTTTGTCCGGAAGTGCGTGCCTCTGCGGACGGACAGGCATCCCGCCCTCCTTCCGGTGCTTCTTGGCGTCTTTTCTCCCCCCCCCCCCCCGCCTAACATCGCTGCCCCCTGCCCGCACCCCTGTCGTCTGGCTTTCAGGACCGAGCGCCAGATTGTCTCCGAGGAGGCAGCCTCTTGGCAAGAGGAGGAGGAGGCCGCCGCCGCCGGGGAATATGCCGCCGCTACTGAGCGTCGCCGCGCCGAAACCCTCTCGCTCATTGCCTCGGCCGTGGCCCGCGAGGATGCCGCTCGGCAGCAGGCCCTCCAGGGAACCAGCTCCCTGGCGGCCTCCTTCGCCGAAACGGTGGTCGATGATACAGATGCCCCGGGCGACGAGGAGGAGGCCTATGCCGCGTGGCGCCTGCGCGAGCTGGCTCGCATGAAGCGCGACCTGGACCAGCAGCAGCAGCGCGAGCGCGACCAGGCCGAGAAGCTCCGCCGCTCAACCCTCACCGATGAGCAGATCCTCGCCGAAAATCGCCGCGACCCCGAGCTGGCCGATCGCTTCCCCACCAAGCCCCAGCGCATGGCCTTCGGCCAGCGTTACATCCATTCCGGGGCATTCTTCCAGGACTCCGAGGCTGCCAAGCGCGCGGACTTCTCCAAACAGACCGAGGATGATGTTCGCCGGCGCGATCTCCTCCCGGAGTACCTCCAAGTCCGCAACCCTGGGCGAAGTGGTCGGACCAAGTACACGCACTTGGCCGCCCAGGACACCCGCCGGGCTTCCGGGCCCGAGCATAGCGACCGACGCCGGTGACCCTCGACCCCATGTGCGGCCTGGTGTCCTCGTCAATGAACCCGATTCTTTTGTTGCCCTTTTCTTTCTTGTCGTTTATTTTGCCAGAGAGGAAGAGGACCATGCATGTGGAGAGTCCCCCCCCCCCCTCCCTCCCGGCGGGCGACGGGCGATCTACGCACGACGCCGCCATGAGAAGAAATCATCCTCGTCATCCCCCTCCTCGCTGCTGCTGCTGCTGCTGCCGTCACTGGCGCTGCGATCGCCATTGGTCACGGCATCACCGGCGAGCTGACTGGCAGTGCTCGGGGCAGGTTCGGCAGGGCGAATGCCGCCATCCCACGGGATGGCTTCAGCGTCCTGAGGCTCCTCATCCTCCGAGGAGGGATAGTCAGCACTGACGATCGGGACGGCGCCGGCTGTTGCAACACGCTTGGCCGGCCGGGTGGTCACGTCGGCCGGCCGGGCGCGCTTCACGGCGCCTATCCGCCGCTGCAGCGACTCCAGGCGCGACTGATACCCGGCATGCAGCCGCCGGGAGCCATCAAGGCTCTCATCAGTCCCCGGAACATGCGAGGGGGGTGGTGCGGCGGATTTCTCGAGATCGGCGTGGCCACTGGTCGAGGAGTCCTCACGGTCGGACTCCGAATCGGCACTCTCTTCGCCACTTGATGCCCGGAGCTCGGGAGCAGCGGCCAACACCGGGGCTGATGCGAGTGCGGCCTCGGGTGGTCCTGCAGATAGGAAGGCCTCCAGGGCCGCGAGCGCGGCGTCGTCTGATTCAAATGAGCTGAGCAGTCCCCACAAGTCAGCAAGGGGGCAGTGTTTTTCCGTGTATGTATGTGTGTGTGTGTGTGTGTGCGTGTGCGTGTGCTTGTATATGTGCAGATGATACACATCTAGTTGTATATACATGTGCGTAGACGGGGATGGGGATGTGGCCTCAAGATGATGGCACCGTGGCGCACCTCATTGGAACAGTGTAAGACGATGACAAAGGCGAAAGGGATGAGGGGGAAGGTAGATCGCGAGGGACCGGTGAGGAGAGAGAGAGGCAGAGGGAGACAGAGGAAGGCCGAGGGAAGTGGGGGGGGGGGGGGGGGGGGGGGGGGGGGGGGGGGGGCGGGGGGGGGGGGGGCCCCGACAAAGACGCACCTGCCATGATGACCAGCCCCAGCAGCATGCCAATCCGGTAGTTGGGGAAGATATTGGCCAGCCGGAAGATGAAGACCGTCAGGGGGGGGAGGAAGGGTGGAACGGAGGCCAGGCGGAGAGGGCTCCTTTGGAGGGTGGGAGGGGGCGTGGGGGGAACTTTCCCGGACCGTCCCGGCGCTGGTCACCAGCGAGGATCCCAATGAATGGAGAATTGTCCGTTCAGATCGGGACCATTTTTGCCAAGGGCCGATATGTGAAATGTACTTCGTGACATATCACCGGATCAGACAGAACGTTGTTCCACGCTCGGGGCGCCTATTTCTGGACGCGCTCTTCCCCAAGCACCGGCCACAGGCCCGTGAGGCAACGAGACAACGATATCCCTCCCCTTTATCCTTTTCTCCCTCTCCATGTAATCACCCCCCCCCCCCCCCTCCCCGTCCCGCGTCCTTCCTCCACGCCCTTCCTCTGCCCTCCCCCGCCCCCTGCTCCGGGTCCTGGACCTCCCCATCCTGACAGCCCTCCTGCGCCTCCCTCCACCGCCCAGCCTCCCAGCCATGTCCGCCCAGGTCATCCGCGCCGCCACCGGCACCCTGCACGAGCTCCGCTTCCTGTTCAGCTCCACCTCCGCCGGTTCTGCCGGTGTCCGGTACCGTGCCTCGCATGCGCTTTCGCTCCCGCCCACCCGCCCACCCGGCCGCCTCCTCTCCCTAGACCGCAGAATGCCCGGCCCTCCCTCTTACCTTTCGCCTCTCGCCCCCCGCGCTCCCCTTCAGTGAGTTCATCTCCAACACCTACCCCAAGATCAAGGCCGCCAACCCGACTCTCCCGGTCCTGGTCCGCCCTGGTGGTGAGGCCACCCCCGCTCGCGTCTTCGCTCGCTTCGGTTCGTCTTCCCGGCACCTTGCCTTCTCCTCTCGCCGCATCTCCCCGAAGAGGCTTCTTCATTCCCACACACAGCTGACACCCTTGCCTGTCTCTCCTCCACCTACTCTCCTCCCTTCGGCGCATCCTCCGTGCCTAGAGAACGGCGCCGAGATCCAGATGTCCATCGACGGTGCCAGCCCTGCTGCCATCCACTCGTCCATGGCCGAGCTCTTCTCCAAGGCCAAGCTGACCTTCCCCAAGGCCTAGAGGCGAGGCGTTTTTTCCTCGCTCTCTCTCTCTCTCTCTCTCTCTCTCCCCCTCTCCCACCGCGCGTCCCTCCTTCTTGCTCCCCCCCCCCCGTTCCTTGTTATCGGCGAGCCGCTCTCCCTTTGGGCGCACACACGCGCGCGCCTGCTTCGCTTCGCCCGGGCCTGCATGCACTCCTACACTTCACATCTCCCCTCCCCCCCCCCCCTCCTTCGCCAGGGGAGTCGGAGCCAAAAACTAGACCCATCTCTTCTCCCCCGGCTTGGCTCATTATTTGTGCCCTTTTTCTTTCTCCCGCACTCTGTCTCGGTGTCTTTGGCTGACGCGGGCTGTCAATGTGCAATTGATCGCGTTGCCCTCTTCCACCGATGGGCAGAGGCACGGGGAGCGGCGAGGAGGGGGGGCCAGATGCGGCAGGCAAATCGCGGGGGATTTCATCGGCTCCGGGCAGTGAAGGGGGCCTGATCATGTGTCCACGAGCTGGTTGATTGGGCGCTCGGAGGGATGGACGACCAGGGGTGCATGTTTGTGAGGGATTGGGAGTTGGAAAGACGCGAAGAACAACCGCCGGGGGATCGCCCGGCCGCTAGATTGCCGCCGGCCAATCGGGATTCTGCTTCCTCTCCGAGTCCCCTGACTCCCCGGCCCCTCCTCCCGCCTGACTCTTCTCACTCCCCCCTGGCCACCCGTCC